ATCGGTATCGGAAATTGAGAGTTGGACAATATCGGAATATCAGATATCGGCAGAAAAGCCAACATCAAGCATCCCTAGTATTAATAGAGAGCAGTGTGAGGCACAGCGCCCTCTGCTGTCTGCTGTGATATTATTCAATAATGATAACTAATATAAATAATATCAAGTTGAGGACTGAGTTTATTTGTCCACAGTGGTCCATGGTTACCTGTCTGACTGGTTGCCGTGGTGATATATGGTGACAGGTACAAGGGTGACCACTCTCTCTCCTCCCAGCCTATCAGGAAGCACCACCTCCTTACGCATATTAATGTCTGAGTACGGGCAGCCGAAGGCACTGTGCAGAGGACCACATGAGTCAGCAAAAACAAGGCAAAAAATGAGTCAGCAAAAACAAGGCAAAACATGAGTCAGCAGGTTACCTGTGGTGTCCGGTGTATTTTGCTCCTTTAATGTGTCCGACTCCTCTGCAGCCTGGAGTGGGACAGACGCCCTGAGAGGGGGACGACAGGGGGGACGAACCTGTCTCACACACACAGAGGGAACACAGACACTGTTAGAATGATAATATCTGTCTGTCTGTCTGTCTGTCTCTGACCTGACTGTCTGTCTCTGACCTGTCTGTCTGCCTGTCTCTGACCTGTCTGTCTGACCTGTCTGTCTGACCTGGGGGGGGTTCCAGAGGGTGTCCTGTGCGTTGACACCAGCCGACAGGATGAAGGTCAGACAAGTCGCTGTCACACCAGACGTCAAACTGTTGTGACCAGCCGTCATAATGCACCTGCAGGTCAACACACCTGGTTACATCATCACACACTTTATGACATCACTCAGGTACACAGACAAGCGCACAGACAGGCACACAGACAGGCACGGTACCTTCACCCTGTAGTCGGCTGTATCTGTTACCGTGGCGACACGGATCAACATGGGGTTTCTCCTGTCGACTGCCTCCAGTTTCTGGTTCATCTGGAAACCGTGCGGAGCTTTCTGATTGGACAGAGGCACAAAGACACCTGTCAATCATCAAATGCTTCTCACTGACAGCTCCTCCTTTTCCGCCTCCTCCTCTATCTCCTCTTCCTCCTCTTCCTCCTCCTTTATCTCCTCTCTACCTCCTCTACCTCCTCTACCTCCTCTTCCTCCTCTTCCTCCTCTACCTCCTTCCCTCCTCCTCTTCCTTGATCTCCTCTCTACCCCCTCCTCTTCCTCCTCCTCTATCTCCTCTTCCTCCTCCTCCTCCCCTCACCAGTGTGAAGGCTGAACTGGGAGCAGCGAAGGAACCAGTTTCCTGCAGGTACTCCTCCCACAGGAAGTTCTCTGGGTTGGGATGACCTGAAAAACAAAAGTACTGTTTAACACGAAGTACTACAGAGCACTACAGATTACTACAGAGTACTCAGATTAGTACAGAGCACTACAGATTACTACAGAGTACTCAGATTAGTACAGAGTACTACAGAGTACTACAGAGTACTACAGAGTACTACAGAGTACTACAGAGTACTACAGAGTACTACAGAGTACTCAGAGTAGTCAGATTAGTACAGATTACTACAGATTACTACAGAGTACTCAGAGTACTACAGAGTACTACAGAGTACTACAGATTCTTACAGAGTGCTACAGATTACTACAGAGTACTCAGAGTACTACAGATTAGTACAGATTACTTCAGGGTACTCAAAGTACTACATAGTATTACAGATCATGTCACCGACCGATTCTCTGAGATTGAAAGATCGTGTGAGGAAATTACGCTCTGAGCCCCTCGTGGTGTGTCTGTGTGGTATAGAAAATGATGCCACCGCGGTGCCTGACGCGCGGGGCGGCCGTGCTTGTGTTGTGATTGGACGCCAGA